TAATAATAATATATTGTATTTATTTAGCCCTCTATCCCATACGTGTATAAGCTCTGAGCGCATTATATTAAGTAAAAAAGAAAACAGAACTCCTTGTATAGGTCCCTTTCTTTATAGCCACTTGTCTTCTTTCTTCTTTAGGGTTATTTGATATCAAATGTGAGGCGAGCTGCCAAAAAAGAGTTGCTTCTCCCAATCCACAAATGGAGGTATTGGCCTAAAATCGACATTAGGGTCAAATTTGCAGATTTTCTATTGATGCCATATTCTTTAACTATTGTAACCAGTCTTTTATCATTTCATACTAATAAATTGTAAAAACTTAACCTATAAGCGTGATGTATCTATTTCCTTAAGACATGCCGAGAAGTAACTCATTTTGTCAGCACGCTTCACAAATGATTTCAGGTATTTCACACTTTAATATCCCAATACTGTTAAAGATCCCTTCTGAAAAAAGGAAACCATCTATGGAAAATATTCTCCGTGAGGTAATGGAACTGCTATACATGTATATATAACTTCCATAGTTCTAGCCACTTGATTTCTTTCATATTAGGTTCATATTGATGTCGAAATGTTCCTGATATTTCATTCTTTTATAAAAATAAAGCTTATAAAACTCTACCGCAGTAATGTCTACAGTTTCAACGTTTATGAGATGTTAACTACTCTACATTAGCAGCAAAGATCTTTCAACATTGTTGAACCAGTTTCGTCCCTTCTCTTCTGTGCACCGAAATGAGTGGAGAGCACTTTGTAACTAGGCAACAATTTTGCTCCCCTCCCCCATTAATAAAAAATCAAATTCATTTATAGTAAAAATCATTTCTAGAAATCATCATCATCATCAATGCCTTTCACCCCTGGCAGGGTATAGGCCACATACAAGCTCATTCCATTTATCTCTATCCTGAGCCATCCTTCCTAGTTCGTTCCAAGTGAGCTTCATCGTTCTCATGTCCCTTTCCACACATCTCCTCCATGTCTCTCGTGGCCTACCCCTGCCTCGTGCTCCATGTGGGTTCCATTGCAGTGACTGTCTTGTGATGTTTCCGCTGGGCTTTCTGAAGGTGTGTCCCATCCAACGCCACTTTCTTAGTCCTATTTCTACTTCTATATCCTTCTGTCCTGTCCTTTCCCATAGCTCTTCATTTCTTATTCTATCCTGCCACTTAATTCTTAGGATACTCCTCATACATCTGTTGATGAAAGTTTGGACTTTATTCAGCACTATCTTTGTTGTCTTCCAAGTTTCGCAGCCGTAGAGGAGCAAGTGGGTCTCGCTGATTCCCAGTATGTGTAGGTGGTATCGATGCATTTCTTGGAGGACCTGTGCAGTTTTTCCTGCCTCATAGAGGGTCCTAACGTTCCACGATCCAATCCGCCGGAGAGACTTGGACTTGGATGATGGTGGAGGCTTCTGCCCAGCAGCTTCCTTTCGGTGTTCACTGCTTCTCATCATAAACTCTCCGTTCGGAGAAAATACACGACAAGCTAAGCAGAGATAATGGTTTTTGCTTGTATATGTTTCTGTAACAAGTTCTTTTCACGAGAGAGGTTGTTAGCCTCGTGACTCAACCCCCGACCTGGAGGGAGGATGACTCTTTTTCGGGAGTCACCACCTGGTTTCGCCATTTAGTCGCCTCCTACGACACGCTAGCACCACGTCAGTCCTATTCTTTTCAATGTCAGGACTGCACGGCTGATTTATAGAAATAAATGGGTTTAATTAATAACGATGCTACTGTACATCGTCTGCAATAGTTGGCTGCATGTCGTCGGTACGATTCTCTTTGCACATATTCTGGGACTTTGGGATTTTTATTGTCATTCTTTTTTGCTGCTATATTCTATCCATCCAACGAGAATTCCCTATTGTATTTTAAAAGATCCCTTAAAACCTTGGCCAATAGAAACTGTAGTTTTTTTTCTTGCTAACTAAGAGCTTTAATGCAGGTCATGTAAGTGAAGCGAACGTTTCTTTTGTCGCTCCTGAACGTTTTCTTTGGATGAATTTACACGTTTAAAAACAATAAACATGACTGCAATATTTTTTCCAGGTACGACGAATCATTGAAGTGGGACCCAGTCGATTTTGGC